TCAAGTTCCTAGCGTTATTTTACTATAGGCTGACCTTTACTGTTGATAGACAGAAAAATTTTGCATTCTCCGAATAATAAACACTTATCAGTGTTTGTTATCACATAAAATCACATAAAAATCACTTATGTGATTTTTCAGGTATTTCCCTGTTCTACATGTTGTTCTTTCCATTTCATGATCTCTCCCTCTAAGGTACAAAAGTTCATTATCTATTTGCCTTTTGCTGCTCATGCTTTTGGTGTCATACTTTTTAAAAATGTATTTTATGTGTGTCAGTCTGAAGGAGTCAGATCCCCTGCAACCGGAATTACAGTTGTGAGCTGCCATGTGGGTGCTAGGCATTGAACCTGGGTCCTCTGGAAGAGCAGCCAGTGTTTTTGACCTCTGAGCCATCTCTCCAGTCCCTTGTGTCACACTTTAAACAATCCAATGGGGAAATCACAGCTTGTGAAGATTTCTCTATTTTCTTCTATACGTTCCATGATTTCAGCTTCTAGGTTTGTGTTAACTGATCCATTTTGAGTTCATTTTTGGCCATTTTGTGAAGAAGCTGGATTTTATTTCTATGAAAGCCACAGCAGGTGAAAAAAACCAAAAGCACCCAACCACCATTGAAATCAGTGACTAACATAAACTAACCAGGCTTCCATCCTTGAAGACAGCTAGTCTCATCCTGTGGGTCATGACACCTTGGGGGGGGGTGCGTAAACAACACTTTCACAGTGGTCAGAGATACCCTGCACATCACATCTTTACATTAGGCTTCATGACACTAGAAAATTACAGTCATGAAGTAGAAACAAAAATAATTTTATGGTTGGGGGTTACCAAACATAAGCAACTATATTAAAGGACTGTAGCATTAGGAAGGTGAGAACCACTGGTCTAAGCCTTAACTGAAGTCTGGCTAGGTAACCCTGGAATACTTCCAGAGTCAATAAGACCTCACACTAAATCCACAAGGTAGGTATGGGAAGAAAAATAGGTATGGGAAGAAATGCCTGGCAAAACTTGGGAGGATTGAGGGAGGTGGATCAGTGGCTCAAACCATCCTTGACTAATAGCAAATTTAATGCTAGCCTGGATTAGAAGACACAAAAACAAACATGAACAAATCGAGTAACAAAAATCCCAAAACCGTGAAAAAATCATTAAGAATTTAGAATTTAGGTCAGCATAGTACTTATCATTTTATGACTGTACAATTCTATCACAAAACTAATGAAACCCATCAAAAAACTAGCATTTTTACATGCAGAATGACACTCAAAGGAAAAGACAATAGTCTTTATTTAATAACATATTAAGGAATACTGTAAAAACAATAGCTTTGATTAAATACCATTAATTCTTCTAAGAACTTCTACACACCAAACAACAAATTTTCCTTGGAAGTGTAGGAAACAAAGTTGTGCCTTGGTGATGTCTACTTTGGTTGATAGGGGAAATGTAACATTATCATTTAGTTACATCAAACATCAGGGTAAAGAAGTATTACCTCATGTAACGTGTCAGTGTGATGTAACTGATAATATGGGTGGGGTGTAGTAATATATTATTATACAAAACAGGTTAGAGTAAGGCAGTATCACCATATGGAATGGGTCACAGTAATATAGTATTATCAGATAGAATGGGCCAGTATAGTAGTTTGAATTAGGATCAAACATATGAATGCTTAGTTACTATGGAGTAGAATTCCTCAAAAGGATTAGGAGGTGTGGCCTTATTAGAAGAAGTGTGTCACGGCAGGTAGGATCTGAGGTTTCAAAAGCCCATGGTAGGCCCAGTGTCTATCACTCTGTCTCTGTTTCTCTTTCTGGTTATGGATCAGGACTTAGCTTTCTGCTACTGCTACAGCACTATGCCTACCTGCTGAAATGACAATAGACTAAGCCTCTGAAACTGTAAGTAAGTCCCTAAGTCAATAATTTCTTTTATAAGAGTTGCCTTACTCATGGTATCTTTTCATAGCAATAGAACAGTGACAAACAGAGCCAAGATAATGAAGAATTAGCCTAGGAAATGAGCCAGGTTAATATAGTATAAGCAGATGTGAGGTAACATAGTATCATCATATGGAATAATTATACTATGGAATGGTCTGAGAAATGTAGTATTGTCATTTGGGATGGTACAGTCATCTGCATTCTTTTGTTTCAGTGGACATTTCTTAGTAAAAACAGATTTCAGTACAAAACCTTAACATATATGTCCTTAAAAACTGTGTGTGTGTGTGTGTGTGTGTGTGTGTTGGTGATGGCTCAGTAGATAAAAGTGCTTGCTGACACACCTGAGGAGTACTATTCCTGGCACTCATATGGTAAAAGAAGAGCGCCAACTCCCTCAAGCTGTCCTTTGACCTCCACACACAAGCCATGTCATGTCCAACCCATACACATGGGTACTTTGACACTCAAGCCTACTTATAACATTTAATGCCAAAAGTATGATGTGTCTTTTTCCTTGATGAGAAATCCATAGTATTATTCTCTGCAACACACTGCCCAGTTAATAATGACTGTTGCTTTGAGATGAATAAAGAGAGGAGAACTGGATTTGCTGAAGAACTGTTTACAGTTACAATATCCACCATCTCTCCACTGCTTTGTAATGTTTGAGACTCAACACTTCTCTTTTTTGTACCTCCCCCCATACACATCTTGTGTAGTGAAGTCTCTCTCTCTCCCCTCTCAATTTTTCTGGGTGGTCGACTACTATTTCTTCTCTGTTACTCTCTGCTCTGTTCTGTTCTTCCATTTCTCTCTCTCCCCCTCTCTCCCTTCCCTACCTGTAATAAACTATGGTTAATGTATCTCTCGTTCTCATGTGCCCCTTTTTATGTTTTTAAACTTAAAATAAAATAACATCAGTAACAAAACATCTGTGGCCCCTCTTAGGCCATATTGAAAGAATGGACCCCAAGAGATTAGAATTTAGCCAGGAATCCCCTTCTGGGATTGGAAAAGCTTCTAAAGCCCTTAGGGGAGGAACTTGCCTGCCTGAAAAGAGATTGACAGGTGACCTTGCAGGAGAGACATGGAGCAAAGACAATGGCAAATAGGAGACTACATCTGGATAGATTGCTTGACTATGCATTTCATTCTATCTAAAACTTACCTTCAAAGTTTTGGGGGAATTTCTGGTTCTCTTTGTCCCAATGTGACCACTTTAAATAAATCTCCTTATACTGATTTTCATTTTTAATTTGGCTCTATTAATTATCTTAACTGAGGATAAGTGACTGAACCTGGTTTGTTAGATCACAGGCCTTGACCCCATAACTCTGGTTCTAGCAGTTGCAGAGATTTACATATTGTCTGAGATATTGTTTTTCACTTAAAGTCTAATAAAATAGTCCTTGAGATACCTTTTGATTCCTTGTCTAACTTCTTTTATGAAGGAGACTATGAACCCAAAAAGGAGATCTCTCATTTCCCTGGTAACACCAGGGACTGGAAGGGATCTGGCCTGCTACTGCCTAGGGGCCAGGTCTACAGGAGAACAGGCACATCTAGGATCTCACTTATTTTTTTAACAAGGTTTTCCAAATTGAAATCTGTTAGGAAATGTATTATTAATTCCGGCTCTTACCAAGAGAGGCATCTACCCTGACTGAACAGTTATCCCACCCTAACAGAAGAAAGCAAACAGAGATGGACTGTTATGGGATTCCAAGGTATAAATTACTGAGGGTCATAGCACAGCAACATCTTGCAGGTATGGTACTGCCTGACTGCTGTTATGATAAAAGTACTACCAGTTATTTTGGTTTTATTTACTTAGTGAAATTATTTAATCTGAGGCAGTGAGCTTCACACCAAAAGGAATGACATTATGTTGGAAGAAGTGTGTCACCGTAGAGGCAGGCTTTGAAGCCTCATATGTGCTCAAGGTACTGCCCAGTGTCTCAGACTACTTCCTGTTGCCTGCAAGCCAAGATGCAGAACTCTCAGCTACCCTTCCAGCACCATGTCTGTGTGAGCTCATGATGATAATAGACTGAACCTCTGAACTATAAATGAAACACCACAATTAAATATTTTCTAAGAGTTGCCAAGGTCATGGTGTCTCTTCAGAGTAATAGAAACTCTAAGACACACAGAATGTAAAGTGGAGGTCAGAGAACAAATTTCAGGAATTTCTTTCTCGATCTTGTCAGTTCTGGGAATCAAACTCATTTTTTCATCCTTGCTAGCAAGGAACCTTACTGCTGAGCCATTTCAACTGTTCCATTTCTTATTTCTTAGGGTAAATATATTCCCACCTTCATTATTTTTTTCTAGTTTGTGTTGTATGTTTATGGGTACATGTACCTATGTATGTTCCCAGTTGTGGGAGAACATGTGATGTGGGTATGGACAATGACTCTGACAATGGGTATCTTCCTCAATCACTCATTTATTTATTTTTATTTTATGTGTATGTGTGTTTTACCTTCACGTACAGTCCATGGAAGCTAGGTTCCCCTAAACTATAGTTTCAGATGATTGTGAGCTGCCAGGTAGGGGCTAGGAGTCAAACCCAGGTCCTCTGGAAAAGCAGTCAGTGCTATTAGCCACTGAGTCATCTCTCCAGCTCCTAATTCACTCAGGCAAAGTTTCCCACTGACCCCTGAGTTGTAGCTACATGAATGAGCCATCTTGTTACAGGGATTCATTGTCTCTACCTCCTCAGCTCTGAGATTATAGATACGATCCTATGTATAATCCTATGCCCACTTGGCATTTACTTAGGTTGTGGGACTCTGAATTTTGATTTCAGGCTTGTACAACATGGACTTTTATTAGCTATCTCTGAACCCCTGTAATTTGTAAAAACACATTTTAGGTCAACATACATTTTGGAATGACAAAATAACGGAAAGACACAAACACAAATACCAAGAAAGCACGCCTAACAATGCTCCCATGAGTGAGCCATCTGAGGGGAGGGCTGGGTCCTTGTACCAAGAGTGTACAGTGGTCTAGAACTTGTCGGATGCATTTTAGACTTACATCGCTGAGCCTCTCACGAGAGCTGCTCCGGTGGAAACCCTTGGATTCTCCGCTAGCGCTTTCGCTGTCACTGTCCCTGCAGCTGTTCTGTCCTGGCTTGAGCTGAAGGTAACAGAGAAAAGCAAAACAGGAGAAGTTCAGAGGTATCCTCACACATACATCATGTCTTTGAGCTGTAAGCCTTGCCAATTTAAAGTTCGATTTAAACTTATAAGACATGCACATGCGTGAGTGCATGTGTGTGTGTGTGTGTGTGTGTGTGTATACGTTCACTCACATGTGAGGGAAGGCAGGGATATGGAGACCAGAAGAGGACACTGGATCCCTCTGCAGCTAGAGATACAGGTTGTTGTAAGCTGTCCAACACGAGGGCTGAGAACCAAACTCACATTTTCTCCCAGAACAGCATGTTCTTAACTACTTCTCCAGCTCCATACATTTAGGTTTTGTTTTTGTCTTATAACACAGGGTAGTCCAGGAAACTCAGAATTCACTCTGTAACTGAGGGTGATTTTTAACTTCTGATCCTCCTGTCTCTACTCCCCTTCTTTAACATCCTATTGCTGTTTTGTTTTAATTGCTTAGTTTTGTGTCTTTGAGACAGGGTATCTTGGGGTTGACTGACCTCGAACTCATTGTGTATTGAAGGGTGACTATCAAGTTCTCACATCCTGCACCCATCCTCTAATTACTAGGATTACAGGCATCAAGCATTGCATTATCACACAAGGGTTATTCAGTGCTCGGGACTGAACCCTGGGGCCTTGTGCATACTAGGCAAGCATTCTACCGACTAAGCCATATTCCCAAACTTCTGGCATGATAGACTGACCAGACTTCAGACTTCACTTGGTTTCATCTCACTCCCAAATGGAGCATTCTTACCTGCAATTCCTCAACAAAGCCATTTTTATTATTTCCTTCTACATCCCCCATGCTTTGCAGGAAGTAGTCTCTAATAAAAGCCCCCCAAACTAGGGTTAATTTTATCTTCTTTCCTCCTGAGCCCTTAAAGGACTGAGTTTTCTCCTACACTAATGTGAAATTTACTAATTCAAACACAACCTAGATGCAAACTATATGAGTCTTTGCTAAATGGCACAACACAGGTCAGAAAAACGTCTTTTCAAATGTTCACTTTCTCACTCTTTATAAAGCAAGGGTTTGGTGCTAAGTAGGAAGGGTATACTATTACATCTTTGAATGTGAGATCGTACTGAATAAACTTCATCTCAAGCCCTGTTCATTACAATGCACTTTAAAAATACCCTTATTACATTTATTTATTTGTGTATATGTACATGAAGGAGGTGGCACACATGCCAAAATTTTCTCTATAGAGACCAGAGGATAACTTGTGGGAGTCAGTTCTCTCTGTCAACCTGGTGGGTCCCAGGAATGAAACACAGGTCATCAGGCTTGGTGGAATCTGGCTTTAGCAGCTGAGCCTTCTTCCCAATTAATTACAAGTGCAAGGAATCGGTACTGTTGAAACAGTCATACTGACCATCAACCCTGCAGTGGAATATACACTCTGATACATAAGTACCATGAAGATTCTCATTCTTGACTGACAATATAACTCACTCAGTAGAAGAACTGCACAAACTCCTGAATTTGGCCTTCTGCACTGTAGAAACCCTGCATGGCAACACACATACCTGTAATCCCAGTGCTGGGGAAGCAGAGGCAGGACTATCGGTAGTTCAAAGTCATCCTTGCTATACAGTGAGGTCAAGGTCAGCCTGGAATACATGAGGCCCTGTCTCAAAAGCAAGACAAAACACGATGTATAATTTAACTGACTCTCTCACAATGTACAGGCAGAAACATCTTCAACCGTGGATTGAAGCAAATGATCAGCACAGAGTTAGGCCAAACTCAAGGACCCAAAGTCACAATTCTATTCCTGTCTGTCCCCTGATTCAGTGTTCATTGCCCAGTGAGACATTCACACAGAACACACAGGCACGATTCTGTAGTATATTACCATTCACTCTGTATTTCAGTATGTCTAGGGTGGGGGCTGATCTTGTGAAGATTCAATTCCCAGGATCCACATGGTAGGAAAGAACCTATTCCTGCAAGTTGTCCTACAACCAGCAATGTACACAAGCCTGCTCACAATTAAACAATTGTATCAAGGAATGTTCCTTATATACAACTAGATTAATGAAACCTGGACATTGCCCCTAGTCCCTCTTCCATGCTTCTTCATGAAAGGGAAATGATTTTATAACAAGGCCCACAACAGACTTCAGAGGCTCCAATGTCAATTATCTGACTAAATGTTGATCTGGGCTGAGGGCAGAACCCAAGGAGGAAGGCAAGGAATCAGCTTGCTTGGATTCCCCAGGCCCTGACGGCAAACACACTTAAGTGAATTCTGTTTGGAGAGACATACATAAAATCCACCCCTCTCCCCGCTACCTCTTTTCCCTCCAAAGCCCAGCTCAAGTTTAAAGGAAACTTAGGATTTTAAGCTGTCAACCAGCTCAATATTTCAAAGACACGGACCGACTACCCTAAGCACTAAAGCTAAACCACAAGATTTTAGAGAAGACGTGCTCATTCCTAATCCCACGAATATATTGTCAAACTGGTATTTTCAGCCGCAACCAACGGATCATTTGTGGGTAGCATAAGTAGCTGAGAAGTTGTAATCCTTCACCTGGAATTCCCAGCTATTACCTACAAGCAGGAGACAACACAAAGGCCAGGTGTGAGCTTAAACATTTAAAGACCCGAGAAAAATCAATCCGGTTGCATTGATTGGTCCCAGCATCCATGGTGGCCAGCATTAGAAAGTGCTCGCTGTAACACATGCAGTGAGAAATCTGACTAGCAAGCCCTACATTCTTATTATTGTGTTTACATGAAAATTTCCATAGCACATGCTTTAATTTCACTAGAGGCAACTGAATTAGACCAAACCAAACAGGATGAGGGAGTGAGTATCTGGCATGGGTGGTGGTAATTCTATCAACAGAATTATCTTTTATAAAACATAAGACGCCAAGTTTTCTTTTCATTAGATTTCATTGTGGAAAATAGGTTCTCTGTATTCTGGAACTGTGATCCCAGGAGAGTGTCAACTCTTATTAATGGCTGAATGGTTAATCCTGATTGGCAACTTGATGGGATTTAGACCTGCCTAGGAGACAAACTTCTGGGCATGTCTATAAGCAAGTTTCTAGACTGGGTTAATTGAGGTAGGGGGTACCACCATGAACATAGACAACAGAAGTCATGTAATGAATAAAAATGAGAATGTGAGGGTGCTGGTGTGATGGCTCAGCTGTTAAAGTGCTTTCCCTGCAGGCATGAGGACCTAAGTTTGGATCCCCAGCACCTCAGTAGAAAGCCAGGTGTGGGGGAATGACTTTTTAATTCCAGTGCTGGGGCACAGAGACAGGAGAATCAATAGGGTTTACTGGTTGACCATTCTGGCCAAATAAGCATGTTCTGGGTTAAGTGAGAAAAGGAGAGGGGGAAGGGAGGAAAGAAGAAAACTCTGAACACTGTTTTGGTGATGTGCCTACACATGTAACTTGGACACTGCTATCTCTCAGAAACTGCTTCTATTTGCCCAACACATACATGATTCAATAGTTAAAGCACTTCATTGGATTTCAGAGTGTTGCAAAGATAGAAGGTTAATAAAATACTGAGAGGAAAATAAGCCAAGATCCATTTCACTGTACAGTTGTAAACATAAGTGATCAGGTAGTCAGAGCTATCTGACTAATTCTGACATTCTACCAGCAGATAGGGCAGAAGTTACATCACAGATTAGGAGCCACAAAAGCACAAAACAGAAAGTACACAACTCCCTTAACCAGAATGAAGCAGAAACACAGCTCTCACCTCAAAGAGGATGAGATATAGTTCATTCTAGAGCCAAATATAAGTGAACAAAGACTTCGAACACAGATTTAGGTTACCCTGAATTCAATATTCCAATATGGCAACACTTTGATCAAAATTTTATAGTAAGAGTCAAGGCAGTTCATAAATCAAAGGAACAGTCATATAGATGGATTAGAGAAAAGCAGAGAAATCTCTACTATAGGCATCAGGTGCAATCTGAATGGGTTCTTAGTCTTCATTGATAGAAACTAGAGGTATGGTTGTACATTCCAACGGATTTACCTAATGTTCACAAAGATGTTAGAGATGACACAGATGCAGAGGAGAACAGCAAAGGGCTATTAAGGAGGCTAAAGATAGTCCAAGGCCATTTGTATCTGGACTTGTGACACTGCAACCTCTCCACATCACTTAAGTTCTAATCATTAATCAGCCAGTTGCAGAAGGTTCAGTGGAAGATGTAGTTCTCAGGCACTTTCCTTACACAAAGGAATTCAAGATAAACAAAGGAGAAAAAAACTGAACTGAAGAGACCGGTAAGACACCTCAGCCAGTTGCCATGGATGGAGCTTACTTTGCATTTAATCCGCATGGAATATTGCTAAACTCAAAGATAATTAAGACTGGCTAAGTTCTGATATCAAAAATTGTTGCTTATTTTTTGGTGTTCTATAAGAAGGCACATTTGCAACATTTATGGATGGAATCCCTGGATATTTGAGCTGCACTTCTCAAACACATTGGTAGGTAAGGAGAGTAGGATCTCTGGATGGAGGATATATAGATGTACACATGACACAAGAGTATCTAGTACTTTGGTTTTGTGGTTGTACCATGAGGTTTCACTGTCATCTCTACCTCAGTACTGAGCTTCAGTGTGTGTGTGTGTGTGTGTGTGTGTGTGTGTGTGTGTGTGTGTGCGCGTGTGCACGTGCGCGTGTGCGTGCAGGGTCTCAAACTCACTATGTAACCAAGGAGGACCCTGAACTCCTGATCCTCCAGCCTACACATCATAAAGCCTGAGATTAAAGATGTACACCTGTGCACCATAATGTCTGTCTTTTAAAATGGTATATCATTTAAAAGCTTTATATAATGACGAGGCTTTTAAAATATAGTATAATCATAAAGTATATACATTAACTTGCTGTATATCATTGTTTTAAAGATTTATTTTACTATTATGTGTATGTGTGTATGTCTACTTGTGTGTCTGTACAGGGGCATGTCGG